CAAAGTCGTCACGACCTATTCTCAACCTCCTCAGGCGAACTTAGGGGCGACGAGTCGGCGCTGTTACTGTTACTGTTCCCTGAAGAAGACGAAAAATACACCTCAACCGCCCCCATCAAAGACGGTCTCTGCCCAGTACTCTCCGCAAATGCAGCCGCTCTCCGTCTCCATTCCATACTCCTGATGAATAAATCGTTTTCTCTTTCTCGTTCATATTGAGATGAGCTGGGAGTCAAGCTCGAATTTGAGTGGGGACTCAAGTTCGCGAACGGGTTTGTGCGTGAAGAGGTGTAGAATGGATTGGATGGATGATAAGGGTTGTTCGAGCTCAAGCCGGGCCATCCGCCAGAGTAAGACGATCCCATTGCAACGGTGTCCTCCTCTTCGTCGAACGGCGAATAATGGAATGTCGGAGTGATCACAGGAACTTGTGAACCGGGAGCGGCAGCGGTGTTGGCACTATAATTGTTAGACGAAGGCAAAGTTCGAGGTCCAGCGAATACCAACGAGCTCGTCGTCCCAACCGAGCTTTGCCGCGTATCCCAACTATCCAGCGTCTGTCGACTATTGTGAGTTTCCCGCGTATGCCGCGAGTCCAAAGAGGCGCGTTCAAACTGCGCCGTATGCTCGGATCCCCTAAGGGAAGCGAAAACCACAACCGAGTTTTCTGTTTCTGATGTAGATGGTCTGGTTAACCAAAGAGAAGAAGAGGTGTCTGTGACCGTATCATTGTCTGAATCTGTACGTCGTCGGATGACAGGAATAAATCCCGTCCCATCAACGCTTACGTCCGAATAAGTCGTATCGCGAGTATTGGTCCGCATGATCGGGATGAACCCTAGCCCTTGGTGATGGTCCCGCTCAGGAGACTGCAATTCGCCAACATCCATGTCCATGTCCAGATCCAGATCCAGTCGGCTATTAGTAGCCATGTAGGAATTTCGGTCACTAATTTCGGTGTGGGTTACAGAAGCAGTTTCGGGAACATCCTGAACTTGGAGTGCAGAAGCACCTCTGGAAATGGAAGATGAGGACTGACGATAGAAAATGAAAGATAAGGAAGGTAGCAAGGAGTGGGAAGGTGAGCGAGAGGAGCCAGAAAGTGCCAGGGACGGAAAACGTGATGAAGTTGGAAGAGAATCGCGGCTGAAAGCGCTTTCGCTTTGGTCATTACGCCACGCAGAGGGCAAAAAGGCGCGTTTCGCTCTCGTCGAATGGGTCGAGTCGTAGAGATTGGAGCCGTTTCGACTGCGCCTCTCCTTTGACGAAGCGTTCTTTAGACCTTCTTTCTCTTCGTCTGAGATGGGAGCATCCGAACGAGGCTCGCTAGAGCCGGAAGCAACTGCGGCGCGTCCCACTACAGAGGCAGTGATTGCGAGGAGCGATCTTTTCTTGGAGTTGCTTGGGATGGTAGCATCTTCATCATTCCGCGTCTTTTTCTCGGTTCCCGGAGCAACACCATCACCTGCGTCAGAAAATGCCCACCAAGCTCCCGGAGTTTCGCCCAATTCCAATCTCTGTCCGAAAATGTTCATTCCACGTTTCAGTTGTCTTCGACGGCATAGGTAGATAGCACCGAAGATGATAAAAAGGAGAAGAAGGGTAAGGAGAACGGGAAGGAGGGTAGTGAGGTGATTAGAATGTCTGAGTATGAAAAAGACGCGTCAGCGCAGGTCCCCTAGCAAAAGATTGTAATTACTTACTTGGCCAATCCCCCATTGGGTGCTGGTCCACCAGAAGTGCTCGGTGCCGATGTACTTGCAGATGAAGTAATCACTAAACTTTGACTCGAGCTATATGGAAGAGTTCAATAATGAGACTAGAGAAATGAAGAGTTGAAGAGTTCATACCCTATGCCGGTGATAGTGCCAGTATCGGAAACAGACGAACTTCCACTTGAGCCTGTTCCTGTTGATGATATTGAATTTGAAGATGCAGATGATCCAGTGTCACTGGTAGCGGTCTGTGACGCCGGTGAAGAGCCTGAGCTAGAAGACACAGGACTTGAAGACGTAAGAGATTGAGAAGAAAGAGTTGATTGAGAGGATGTCACAGTGCCTGAAGACCCGGAAAAACTGGAACCGCTGGCACTTGCCGACGATGACTGAGTGGCGCTCAAAATACTACTTGAGCTAGTTCCCGCACTGGAGGATGTCGTCGATGAAAAGGTTCCAGATAAAGTTGATGTAGGGCTTGAACTCAAGCCTGAGCTCGACCCGGTTGTAGTTTGAGTTCCGGATGAAGAACTCGGCGATAGTGTTTGGCTCGCGGTAGTGCTTGAGCTTGTTGCTGGCGAAGTACTGCTCGCAGAAGTGTCCGATGTTGGTGTTGAAGAGGATGTGGAGGATGGAGAGGATGTGGAGGATGGAGAGGATGTGGAGGATGGAGAGGATGTGGAAGATGGAGAGGATGGAGAGGATGTGGAGGATGTGGAGGATGTGGAGGATGGAGAGGATGTGGAAGATGGAGAGGATGTGGAGGATGGAGAGGACGTCAAGGTTGGAGATGAAGGGGATGAGGAGGTTGGAGTAGAAACTGTAGTTGAAGAGGGAGAAGAGGTCGGGGATGAAGATGGAGTTGTAGAAGTAGATGATGGAGAGGTGGATGAAGGGGATGTACTAGGTGTAAGAGACGATGACGTAGAGACCGTGGAGATAGTTGAAGAAGACGATTCGGTAGACGTACTGGTCGACGACGGTGTCTCGGAGGTAGATGTAGTAGTAGTTGAAGGAGATGTTGAAGGAGGTGTACTTGTCGTCGAAGTAGTCTGCGAAGAGGGCGAAGGGCGGATAACCGTGGTTACGGTGCTGGGTGTAGTGGATGGAGATGCCGGAGGAGGAGGGAGGGGGGTAGAGCTTGTAGATGTCGGGGTGGTAGTAGAAAATGACGAGTCGGTAAGAGGAACGGTCGGGGAACCTTCAACGAGATTATGAAGGATAGAAGGCACAGCGTTAACGAGGGAGACTCCATCGTTAGCTACCGTGTCAATGAGGGAAACCCCATCGTCAGCTACCGTGTCAAGTAGGGAACCTAAACCTCGTTCAGAAACCATTTCTGTTGAGCATCCCGCTGCCGATTCAGCTACGCGAACCTCCGAAAAATGCTCCGAAATTCTAGCATGCAACTGTCGAGGAAATAGGGAAAAAAGGAACACAAAAGTCAACGAGAAACTGAAGATGACAAGTGCGAATAATCCTTTGCCCATTGTTTAAATCCCTTTCATACCAGCTCCATCGCTGGTGGTAGGAAGGAGGGAAGAGTGAGAGCGCCTGAGAGGGCATCAGTCCGACGTGGACAGAGGAGTAAGGCACTGTGCCTGAAACAAGAAAACAAGAATACACTGTGTTTAAGCGCCCAAGGCGCTTATCCCATTGACTGACGTCTGTCTCTCAGCAATCTGTCCAGCGCAAGGCCAGTGCAAGTCCAGTATATAGCTATATGCTTCCGGGCAGGCATTAACAGAAAATCAATCATTTCGGGAGGCGAACTATGACGAATCAACTTGCCAAATCACTGCCTTCTGACAGGCTGCAAGCTCTTCTTCGCCTCATCTTCGTCTGCACTCCGGTCGTCCGCGAGAATTTTGGGCTTTCAAGCTCTTACCCATTCTTACCCGTTTCTCGTGACGGCAAAGCTCTCGCCAGAGGAGAACCAGGTTCCTTGAGGTTTATGGACCTTAATGTACCTGCTCGTTCGACGTATGAGATCAAGATGAATGATCAATGGACCCACAAAACTCGACATTCAGTTGCCAAACCGCGCTTCTCGTCGCTGATAGTATAGTGATTTTAGCGTCTTCCTCTCACGTTTTTGGAAAGAACTATATCCTGCATATCGCCTAGCATGAGAATCATCTCACTATATCAATGATATATAATATCATTTTATTCGAGATTGCGCTTCTTCGAACTTGAGAGAACAATATCGCCCCTATGAATTGCTGACAGTGATATAGATCCCGAGTTTGGCACAAAAGTCGCAGAGGTACATACTTATTGAATCAGTGAATGTTGAACTGTCTGTTGATACTTGCGCTTCTGCCGCAACGACATGTCACGCACTCTTGCCGATGCAGCGTTGCATGAACCACACGTTGGACTGTTACGAGCCAGGCTGAGCTACCAAGATCGAACTAGGTGAGCCAGAGGCAGTGGATGAAACGATATGTTCGATCCCGACTCGAATGAAAACAAAGTGTTCGGTCTACCAGAGAGTAAGGATAGATCTGGAGTCTCTCACCTCAAGTCCTTTGGCATGAGATTTGAGACTTGACATTGACTCTGACAGATACATGCATCTCGATCAGAAGACTTGAGATGACTGTGCGGTGAGGTGAGATAAAGGAAGATCTCGTAAAGCCAGAAGTGAGTTTGCATGCCATGATAAGGAGAGGCAGGTAGATGACGCAGGATAGTTGCTCGAGGAACAGGAATATGAAGTGTTACATCACGAAGATGGATTGTGGACATTGACTAAGTATAGGGAAATTATTGAAGCGGCAGTAGGAACTTTTGTATTTGACATTTAAAAGCCGGCTTCGATTCTCGACGAAAGGAACTCCAGGTAGGTAAGATTTGGCACCGAATGATCAGTCACGGTGGTCTAGCCTCTCAATAGCAGCTGCCAGTATTATTCCAGTTCGAACGAGCTGATTCTGCCCTGGATAATTTTGAAACGAAAGGACGAGACTTCTACAAGGTCTTCTAGAGCTAAATCCAGATTCCAAACCGCTGCAGAAGTTTGTCAATTCCATAAGAACAAACACCAGGGAGTGATCAACGAATCGGTCAAATACCAATACAAATGCAAACCAAAACGTCCAGAGGCCCATGATGAAGATTGCGAAATTCGAAAGAAGAAAATACTTTGGTAGATACTTGAACAAGCAAACTACCCATTTGGAGTCTCACTTTGCAGATGAGACTTGCTAAAAGAGAAAAAATCAAGGAGGGATAAGAGAGAAGAATGGATTGTACATACAAAAAGATGAAACTCCTAAACTCCCTGGCTGGGAGTCGAACCCAGCTTTCGCGCGTACCAGCCGACCTATTTTCAGAGCATGACAGGCGCGTGTACTAACCGATATACTACCAGGGACTCCTCAATATGAGAGACCTCATTATATATAAAGGGAGAAAGTAACATCATCAATGTTTGCAACATCCGCGAAAGAAAAAAACTTCAAAGCCAAGGACAAAGCCACATCTCATCTACATATTACAAAAAACACAATTAGCTCCATCGTACACTACAGGGAAAAGGATACAAATAGTTCTTTCATCACAGTCATAAAACATATACTTTGAACGTCATACTTGAAAAAAGTCGGTAATCATGCACACGGTCCACGCCTCCGCAGACCTTCAAACTTGAACCTCTGTTCCGTACACTCCCGACAACTTCCATCCACATCACAACTCTTCACATTTACTTCCTCCTCTCCCTAGCACCAAGAGTATCACCCCCCAGCCCCCTCGCCCTCATCCCAGCCCCTCCCGCACCAAAATCAACAAACTCAACTTCCTCATCCTCATCCTCATCCTCTTCACCCACCCCTCGCCCAACCCCCTCATCTCCCTCCACACGCATCGCACCACGCCCCTCCTCCTCACCATCAGATCCATGTTCCCCTTCCGCAGAAATCATATCCACATCCACATCCACATCATCACCGTCCCCAACCCCCCTCTCACCCACACCTCCATACCCACCCTCACCCTCGTCATCATCTCCAAACTCCCTCACTTCCTCATCTTCATCTTCATCCATACCCTCAGCCGCAGCAGGCATCGGGTCAATCTGAGCAGAAAGCGAAGTATTCCTCGCATGTCCATGTCCTCGTCCCCTCCTCTGCGCACCTCGGATCGCAGAACCTCCCGCCGCAGCACCTGCATCGCTCTCAACTTCCGTCTCACCTCCATACTGAGGTTCTCTCACTCTGAGATTCCGGAGGCGCTGGTGAGCTGGGGGAAGGCACAAAAGTCAAAAAGTCAAAAACCCATCACCTAGAAAGCACAAAAAGCCAAAAACACAAACACCTACCAACACCCATCTTTCGCTTTCCTCTCCCATCTTCTTCTTCAACACGCGGATCAACATATCCTTCCCCGGGATCGCCAACTTCCTCCAATTCATGATCCTCGCCTTCCTGCCTATCACCATCACCGTCACCATCTTCCACGCCTCCTCCGAGTCCGACGCGTCTTCTTTCATCAGATGCATCAATATCAACATCGACGTCATCGCCGCCTGCCAGTCCCGCATGATTTTCGACACCGTCCTCCACATCCCCGATCTCTTCCTCAAGCTCAACTTCAACATCCTCCTCAAGGTCACCGTAGGTCCTGCAAAGAGGACAACAGAAGCCCGGATAATGCTTCTCTATGAGGGGGCGGATACATTTATAATGGAAAGTATGCGAGCATGGGGAGACAAACAGCGGCTGGAAGGGAGTGAGCGAGCAGAGACCTAGAGTAAAACATTAACAATATTAGCAACCAGACATGGAAATGAACTGTGAGCCTGAGTGGTAGGGACACAGAAAAGATACACTTACATATACAACAATCCGGGAGACCCGCTCCCGAAAACTTGGCTTTCTTCTTTGTGGACGAAGAAGGGGTAGCGGCGTTGTTGACAGATTGTGCCAACGATTTAAGATTCTTCATCGCTATGGCACTACATAGTCAAAAAAAAAAAAGATAGACAAACGTGTCCGCCAAGTCAAAAAAAGAGACGTAATGCATATGCCGAATCAAAACTCACTTGTACTCATTCCTCGTCCTCATCCAATCCCTCCCCACTTCAACCCTAATCTTGACGCACTTGTATATATCCTCACTACCTCCTTGATAATCCACACCCAGCTGAAGTATGTCCCCGTCGCGGATTTGAAACGGTCTCGATGCGGTGTTGGCAGCGGAGAGACGAACGTGGTTGATAAAGGTGCCAGAGGAGGAGGAGGTGTCGCGGACGAAGAATTTCGGTTGGGGTGATGATCCTACGTAAAATCATATTAGAAATAAGAAGACGTAAAACGCCTATACCAACCTGTATCAGACGACGGGGAACACTCGACCCACAATTCCGCATGAGTCCTAGAGACAACCTTGCTCTTAAAAGCCATCTTGAACGAATTGGGATTATTGTTATTATACCCCCCATTCTGGTTTTGGTTCTGACCAGATCGGTCTGTGAACCTGCCGATGCGGAGGACGGGATCGCCTGCGCGCATATCGCGAGTAATCGGGTCGAAGCGCAGTGAACGGCGGGAATCGAGGTGGGGAACGAGGCGCAGACGGAAGGAAGACGAACTAGGAGGGGTTGGGTTGGGAGGAATTGGGTTGTTGATGATTGGGACTGGGTTCGGGTTGGACGAGGGAATAGGTTGGACAGAAGGAGGAGAGACAAGCGGAGGTGCAAGGTTGGCTGGCGGAGACATTTCCCTGTCTCTGTCTCGTTGCTGGCTGGAAGAATTGCGTGTCCTGTTGCTGCGACCTAAGAATGAACCGAGGATCGTTGAGCGCAACGGCGGTGAGCCAGACGCTGAGACAGGCGAGGATGAGATCAATGGCGTATGAGGGTCCATGGCCAAGCAGTGCGTACACTCGCAGGTCACCCAAAAAAGGTCAGGTGCGGTTACGGATCCTCAAAGCCATGTGTTATTAATATCAGTTAATATCAATGAATTTCAATCATGTTATCGATTTCTCTTTCAATGAGAAAAATAGACATCTGCAGTGACGAAAAAGTGCCCGTTTCTTCATCTATGACCCCGACCCGGATTGAACGGATGACCTTGAGGAATCCCCTACTGGAATCTCACGCTCTACCACTGAGCTACGGGGTCGCTATCTATGTTTGAATGGTTATCGAGTAACCTGGAATCTCCTTCCGACCATCTATAATAGAAAAGAAGGGTTTTATTGCGGGCTCCAAGAGAAGATTAGATAACGTTAAGAGGCTCCACAGGGCGTGACGAGTATCTGTCAGTTCAAATCTATTTTACCATTCCTTCTCATCAATCCAAGCCAAGCGCGATATCCCAACTTGCTAAACAAGTTAAGAGCATGTATTCATAATCGTATTTACGTTATTCGTATATTTTAGGTACGTACGTAGAGAGATCGATGGGAGGAGACAGGGAGAATGGTAAAGTACAAGTTTTTTTAATTCAACAAAGAATCAATCATAAGCGTGGAGGCGGAAGAGGACATGTTTAACAGCACCCGACGGGAGATGAGAGAAAGTTCAAAACTATCAACAGTTGAAAAGAAAGTCAGGATATAATAAATACCCAAAAAAAAAAACAAAAACAACAACCCAAATCGAGACATACATACTACATATGTACATATGTGTATAATGGGGAAGAAGGGAGAAGGGAAAGGGTCCAAAAACCGGGGCCGTAACCGAAATCGTGTGTATGGGCGAGGCTGCCGCATTCAGAAGTGCGTGTGTGGATGAAAAGAAGAAGATCTACAAAGGGGGATAGCTTCAATACCCATATCCGCCAGCCTTACTTCCAGCTGTTATGGCCTGGGCGACACTCCCAATGCCATTGACAGCTGCATTGGCGGCTCCTTGTCCTGCACCCCCTTTCGAGTTAACGCCGTTGGCGGGTACACCCATGGATACAGGTACACCTGCTGCACCACCTCCGCCGACGCCTACAACGCTGGGTACCGAGGAACCTACAAACGAAGCATTAGCTACTTGTACGACGAGGTTCCAACCATCGACAAAGCATACCTAAACCAAGAGGCATCCCAGCAGCAGCTGCAGCGCCCAACCCTGCGCTTCCTACTAGTGCACTCAGTCTACTGATCTCTTCTCGCGATGAGACGAGAGCAGAAGTTAGGCGTTCATTTTCTTGAGTAAGATACTCGACTTTGGCTTGAAGCTGCGCAAGCCACGCTTTCTTTCGTTGACGGCACTTGAGAGCAGCTAACGTGAAGGAATGAGAAGAAGAAACACGACGGAAACCAGAAAACACTCACCCTGCCGATTCCTCTCCAAAAAGTTTTTCCTCTTCTCCTCCTCCGTCTCAGGCTTTTTATTCCGCCCTTTTCCAGTACCACCACCGTTATTGGAGGCCGTATTCTGCTGCATCATAGCCTGCTGCATCATGTGGTCATCTTCATCACCTTCGTCCATAAAGTCTTCGTCGTCATCATCTCCCTCAGGTGAAGCCGCCTTCCTTCCTCTTCCTGACCCCGACTTGGATCGCTTCGAGCTACGCGTTGCGGGGGCAGCGGGGACAGGAGCAACTTCGGAATTTTTCCGCTTGGCGCCCCGCTTAGCGTTGGTATTCGTAACGCCATTGGCAGAGCCGTTCGGGTGATTCCCGCTGGCAGAGTTGGCCCTAGCCTGCTCCTCCTCCCGTTTAGTCAGCTCCTGATGAGCCTGACTGAGGAGGAAGAGGCCGTTGGCAGCTGTAGACGCAGCACTGTTGGCACTTTCGAGAAATGACCCGGGGTTGGTATTTTCATTTCCGACACCCATACCGCTGGCAGTGTGATGCAGATGGGAAGGGACAGTCGGAGGATTGAGATATCCCTGCTGCTGACCTTGCTGGGAGTTGTTGAGAACGCCGGTAATGGCACTGAGTGTGTTGGGAGTAATCGTGGGGCCGCTAGCCATTCCGACTCCACTGGGATTGTTGTTCATCAAAGCAAGGAAAGCCGCAGTGCCGGGCGAGGCTGGGAAAGGACCGCCTACGAGTGGCGTCAAGCCTGTACCAGCAGGTGTCAACCCCGTGCGAGGAGTCAAGCCGGTTCTTGGTGTAAGACCGGTACGGAAAGCATTAGGGTCAAAGTGAAATGTGGAGACAGAAGAGTTATTCAACGAAGAGGCAGGGGGATTGGTAGCGTTGGGATCCTGTGGACCAGCTAACATGGCTGGACTGAGAGGACCGGAGCGAAGAGAATTTGCTAGAGAGGAACTGAATGCCCATGGATGGACGGTTCGATCTGCTGGGGAGGAGATGGAAGCTAATGGAGGGAGAACAGGTCGGGGACTGAGGGTACCACTACCGGAGCCGACACTGCCTTTGGATTCAGCTCTGGAGTGGTTGCGACGTAGCTCTTGGCCATCACGTTCGCGATCAGATGCGAGAGAAGATTTTGTCTGAACTGAATCGTTAGAAAGCGGACCGAGTTCCTTATCTCTGCCGCCTGGGGTAGGCGATGAGCCACGGACATTGGATGAAGGTCTTGGAGCGGAAAAACTTTGTTCGAAAGGATTCGGTTCCAAGTCAAAATCTGAACGATTCTGACGCTGCATTGCTGGGGCGTTGGGTGCTTTGGAGCCATTGGGAGACTTGTTGGAAGATTTGGAAGGGGGTTTTGAGGATGGAGGGGGAGGAGAAGAAGTTGAAGATCTTTTTGTTGCTGAAGGCATTCTGAGATTTGGAGGTCAGTATGATGCATGACGTGAAGGAAGGACGTCATGATGTGGAGGTTGTGGAGAACGACGAGGAGGACAACGAGGACGATGGATGGAGTACATGAAGTGATATAAAACCAATGAATGAACTGATATTAGCAGAAGGACTTACCCTTCGAGATAGTTAGTGAGCCAGTTGTTGGTGACGCAGATGGCAGTGACGCAAAGATTCGGGGCAAAAATGGGTGCCTAAAAACGACGTCAGCCGTCGTCATCTCTGTTTATATCTATCACAGTATTAGTCACCATAGTTTTCTCACGCCACACGGCCGTCGGCATTGCGTCAAGAACGTGTTCACAAACTTATAGGTAGCCATAGTATACAGTACTCCCCAAAGATCTGTTCCTAAAGTCATATTTTTGTTCGCCGAATATCGAAAGTCTTCGAACCCATCGCCTCCAGTTGGTTCCTTTCAGAGACCAGACATGCTGTCCAGCTGCCTCACGCCAGGTCAATGGTAAACCCTGCACATTCATAAAAAGTAGGGTACGTACCGATTACCCGTTCCCTCCTGACTTTCGAGTCCTCAACACTCCATATTCTCTATTCAATCTTCCCTCCCCACACACTCCTCCGTCTGCTTCTCCCGTCGTGAGACATCGCTTCATCATTCCGGATCTACCGTCCTCAATTTTATTCTCACATGTTGCTTCAACCTTCAAACCCCCAATTTCGTCTATTTCTGCGCCTTCACTCATCCACGCCCACTCCTGCCTTCTCCGTCGATCCCAACATTCACACTCCTACCCGCTCATATGCGTCTCTCCAATCTCACGCTCCTTAAAGAGTAGGCTTCTGCAGACATGCGGAGCCGGTGTATACTCGGATAGTGAGTTGTCTTTTCTGAAAACGCAATGTGCAAGATCGGGATTTGTACAACCCATTTCTTCGGGCTTCTGCGACTACCCTTCTGTCAAACCCAAGCATTCATTCCCTCAAAAAACCCTGACCGGCGAATGAATTACTTGAATAGGACTAGCCTACCTTTGTTGACATCAGATACGTTATCGATCATTGATATCAGTTTCTTCACCTCCGGACTCTGCCACCGCGAATGATCGCTATCAGCATTTGAGCTAGAGCTTGTTCGAGGCAATCGATCCTGTACAGCAGTGCACCTAGTACTACCATTCCATAACCATAGCGGTATCAACCGGAAAGCTAAATTGTGTGAATGCTAAAGTAGATCTGCAATACCAAGTACCGTCAAATCCCGATGTCCGTCATGTTTGGGCGTTTGAGTTGCATCCAGTGCTTCCCCTTAACTTTGTACCTTGAGAGATGGTGTCTCGATTGCCACTTGATTAATGATTCTTATTTGCCTCCATGACCAGCCCAGAACCCGATCGGCGTTAACATGTCAATGGGATCGTGTATGAGGTTCAACGCTCGGTGGCGCCGCTGTTGCGCAAAAGCACAAACAACGTTTTCTCTGGTCCATCGGACGATATTCCGATGACTCTACTTGACATTAACTTGGAGACTGTGCTCCTTGTCGAAGCGCCCGAATGATAATCCAAGTGTGTGTATCATTGAAAGAGAGTAGGAAAAGAAAGAAAAACAATACATCAAACGTACAAGATAACGGAAAAATAATAGAAATCCAAAGCACGAGAGGAGCGAAACATTACATGCCGCTCCTGCACTTGTTTATTTAACAACCGCTTACGACTGAGCCTCCTCCGCTTCCGCTTCCTTTGTTTCACTCGCCTCTTCAGTCTTCTCTTCTTCCACACTAGTAGTGTCAGCAACAATAGAAGAAGATTCCTCGACTCCCAGATCTTCCGGAACAGAAACTAATACGCCCTCCTCTTCCTCCTCCTTGGCTGTTTCTACAGTCACATCAGCGGCGGTGGCGGTGGCGGACTCTGAAGGGGCTAGCTCTTCAGCGGTCTCGCTTTCCTCTGTGGATTCCGTTTCCAATTCATCGGACTTTGGCTCGGGCTGAGCTTCCTCGACCTGGGCAACAGCACTAGAAGCATCCTCATTCGCTGACTCTTCATTTGACACAGATTCGGATGCAGGCTCAGCTTCAGCCTGCCCCTGCGCGTCCGCGAAATTCTCCTCCTTCTTAGGGGAATCTTCGACAATGCGGACATCAAGGGGGACGGAATCGGAAGGCGCTGTGGATGAGGAGGGTGTCACAACAGGTAGCTCAGATTCTTCTTCTAATGTCGGTGGAGGGGCAGCTTCAGCTTCCGCAGCTTTATCCACCTCGTCAATAGCAATAGCAGGTGTAGTTTCGTCTGACTCTTGTGGCCCCTCTGACTCGTCCGTGTCTGGGTTATCCGACGAAGACAACAAAAGGCCGTCTTCTTCTTCTCCTCCTGTGCCCACAGTGGCCGTTTCCGCCTGCTGTGACTGCACTTCAGGTACCGGTTCCGGTTCCGATTCAGGTTCTGGTGCGGGCTGGACTGCAGGCGACTTGGACAACTCCTCAATGATAGAGGTCGCATCGCTGAATACCATAGTATCGGTGCGGTTACGACCAAATCGTCTTCCAGGACTACCAGAACCAGGCGATTTCGAGTCGTCTTCCAAGTGCGGTGGAGATACATTCAAGGCATCGGAAGCGGATGACGGTTCCGCATCAGAGTCGTTGGAAGGATTTTGGTCATTACTAAGGATTGTCGGCACGACTGCAGCAGCATTGAGTTTGGGCTCTTCCCTGCCTATTTCTCCATTATCATCCCTCGTAGGGATAACCAAAAACTCTCTCGGTACAAGATTCCAGCGTGCCACAATTTCCTCGAATCTTCTATATAGACTAGACTCGGCTTCAGCTTGCTCGAAGAGGGCGCGGTGGTGGAAATACGCGTGCGCGAATATCCTGCCTAGGCGGCGAGCCAAGGAGCTAAAGTGCCTATGGCTCTGAGCGGGGATGCTTAGGCGAGAAGGGAAGGCACGGGGAGAGTTGAGCAGGGCGGTGGCAGAGTCGATGGTATGGAGAATGTAGTCTATGGCGCAGCATTGTTCCATCCCTCCGTCATTTCCGTGTGCGACGCAGAGATAAAGCCATTCTCCGGCTTTCATTTCTGGACAGGTCTGACGCGTACACTCGGTTTGCAAGTTCGTTATTAAAGGGTGTGTCAAGTCTTGAGCAAGTCGTCTAACTTGGTTCTTAGTACTACGTACTGTGAATCATGAAATTTTTTTTCTTGACCTACCGTAATTGTTCGTATATCCAGCAAGCTTCATCTACATTGGGAATCTTGGAAGAGTCGGTGTCCTCGCCTGCGCTTTTCCCATTGCCGTTACCATTTTTACCAGGGATAGAGACTATACGGTCCACATCATGCACATCGAGTCGAATGACCAACGAAATGTATTCTTGCAGCTGAAACGCGCTCTCTAAAGAGCTCAAAGATGGAATGTTTTCAGGCCTGACCGGGTAGAAGATGTCTATTCGGGAACCGCGAAGAGGTCGAGGAACTGGAACTGGATTAGCGGTGGTCATTGTTAGACGCGTAGAGAGAAGAGTTGGTTCGCTCGGCAGGCAAAAAATTGAGCGCCTCCATTAACTTGGGCGCTTAACAAGGTTGCTTCCCGCCCCCATCTCGATTGTTGCTCAGTGCTTAAGATTTAAAACCAGAGTCAACATTTCCATCGCGATTTTACTCTTTCTTGACCGCGCCCGACTCTTGATCAAGTTTAAAAGTGACCGTGGTGACTGAGGAACGTGCGCCAGTTTTGTACGTCTTTCGAGAAACAATCGCAGATGAGTAGTATATCTGCAGCAGCATCGCCTGCTCAATGAGGAAAGGAGACTCGTTAATTGAAATGCAAGTATTCAACTTCGAGATAAGTAACCGAACGATTTCTAGAAGCAGACTTTCTTCGAGAAAGTGCATACCATATAGAGGATCAACCTGCTCATCCAACGCATAGGGATGCTTCCCGCGCAAAGACACATCACTTTTTTGCTAGGTTTATGGGAAATACCTTCATGTTTTGTACGAGAATGTAATTCCATCAATGCTTCTCGTCAATCGTTTATTTGCACAAGCAGCGCTATAGTCAGTCCAGAAAATCTTCCCTAAGCAGTTGACCCCGTAGCTCAGCGGTAGAGCGTGAGATTCCAGTAATAGTGTGTTCTGGATTCCTCAAGGTCATCCGTTCAATCCGGGTCGGGGTCAGTTCAGCGCGTCTTTAGTTTCTTTTTACGCCTCCCTCATTGGGGTATTGGCGGCTCGTCATTCTAACCCAGCACTCTCCTACTTGATTCCTATCATATTTGCCTACTCAATCTAGATCCAAGATTGCCAATGCGGCTATCTAATTCAACGATTAACACATCGCAAACATAGATTCACTCTAGTAGATGATCGTGGGCCCCATGTTTAGTCCCTCATTAACAACCACTCTCGAACTTGCCTTCGACTTCGCCTATCCTCCCCTCAATCAACTTCATAAATGTTTCCAAGCCCAACAACACCCCTCGATCCGGTCCCTGCCCTGGAACAAAGCGGGTGTGGGCAAAATCGATCAAGGAAATGGTGCACGGAGAATGTGGTTTTCGTTTCGAGTTGGTATTCGTTGAGGTGGAGCGGGGCGAAGTCGAGTCGGGTTGTACAGAAGCTTCCGGCACATCCTCACCTTCGTTCGGATCATCTTCCTCCTCCTCCTCCTCATCTTCATCTTCACTTTCAGAATCCTCGCCGTCTTTCTGATCCTTCATCCGTTCTTCCATCCACTTTACGCCGTCCTGCGCTACATGCTCATCTCCCTCCCAAACAACCAATAAGCTGGTAGCGATCAATCTAAGTTCCGCTTTTGCCAAAATTCCGCGGAGACGGTTGACTGAAGAATGAATTCTGCGGAGGATAGGGAGCAGGAGAGGGGCTGGAAGTCCAAGATCTTGTCGCGTGGATTTGTGGTTGTCTATTGGGACTGGCACGCTATCACCGAGCAAAGGAAATACTCTTCGAATGCCTTCAGCTAGTTGCTCTTTCTTAAGTGACTGACCGTACACCTTGGTGGTCACTACAGGTTGGGATGGATCATCCGATGACGGAGTTGGTTGAGGGTGGACCTGGAAGAAGAAAAGGCGAAATGAGCACTTGACGTGTACGGGCTTATGAAATAGAGTATCAGCGAATCGATGACGAACCTGAAATCCAACGAGTCTCATGCCGGTTTCTCCACTAGTGGTTTGCTGAGCCCTCTTCGTCATCTTTATCTTTTTCTCCTCCGAACAGTTTGGATCTAATTCGTCGTATAAGATTGTACCGAGCTTGACATCGATAATGTTGGGCTTGGCGAAATCGTGCTGAAGATTCGAAAGAACCAGTTGCGGTTGAGTAGAGGCATGTATATACCGAGTCACTATTAGCCCGACGCGTAGAATACAGGAAAAGATCCCTATCTTTCGCATTTTTATGGGTTGGCTGAGCTATCGTTTCCGGGGTCAAGTTCTGTGCAGAGCTCTCTGTTCTCGTCTCATCCATCTCCGCGTTCTCTTGTAGCCTCAGTGTCCCATAGAAACGAGGGACGTATCTGCTCAACCGATGGAGATTTTGCATTGATCTCAACGTGTTATCGTCTATCTTCGGATTGGAATCTTCTTCGATTGAGATGACGCCTGTCCTGGCCTGCTCCATGACGGTATAAAACTCATTTTCTAGAGGTAGAGCCGGTTTGATGAGCATAGAGCCATCTTCAGTCGTTTGAATGGTGTTGGGATGACCGCCTACTTGGAAGAAAAGCTGCGAGTGTGACATTGAGATGATGGAATTGAAGCTGGTAAATTAGCGCCCTAGCTGTCTTGTCACCTTGCTTGCAAGGTCTATTCTGCTTCGAAACATAAGTTTGCTCTGATGGGATATATATTGCTTATGTACACAGTTTTCCCACTCACTAAGTTGCGCGGCCTGTCTGTTACATAACACGCTGGGAAATGTTTGCAACGATGGAGTAGACCCATGCGAAGAGAGTGAGTGGGTGGAGCGCAGCGACGCCCCGAGCGAGACTGAGCCTAGAGTTTACATGAGTATACACTTTTCAGAATATGTCTCATGGTTCACATTAAATCTACACGAACATTACAAGCAAGGTGCTGACCAACGGAGTGGTCCTTAATTTGTTTCTCTCTCGGTATATCATTCCGAGTCCTCGGTATTCTCAGAACGAAACTGATGCGGCCAAGCTGAGCTCCGATCTGAAGGTATGGAAGGTTTGTTTTCCGCAAAAGCTATCTCCTGTTCAGACTCGACTTCATAGACCACAATGCACATTTTCGGCGATTAATTTGTCCCCTTCACTGGGCAATATCTTAAGTTTTGTCGAGAGCGACGCTAGTAAAATAGTCCTCACGCAGTCCATATTGAGTATCAAATGCATGCTGATTCCTTGGTGAGTGAATACTAAAGTTGTAGGAAACGGGCGGCGAACAGGACCGCAAAGTTGGCGAAGCTTAGAATAGCTATTAACCACTCACCCACACTCAGTATTGCACTCTCGAACCGCCGGACTTCCTGACAAGGAGCTCATTTATGTCCTTGCGTGTATCGAGGATGACAAAGTAATTTAACAACCAAAGACACCGATAGAATTTGACTTATAGTAGTCCAGGCAATAGCTGCCCGTCCTTCGTGGCTCTCATTCAATCACCGGAGCATTTCAAAGCCCATCGCGACGACTAGGTTTCTCTAGTGCGTTATTCCCACATGTAATAATTCTCTTCCTTGGCTCGTTTATCTGCGTAGGTCCTTGAAACTTCAATTTTCTATGTAACTCCAATACTCTGTGGGAATGTGTTGCCGCCTGTTGAGCATTACACAGGATTCCAGTAATATATCTGTGAAGCTGGCTCCCTTCCTGCTCCCCTTCAGACTGAGAATGGCACTTTCATCTTTGCTTTTCTAGTACCTCGGCCTGAGTATAACGAGCTGGACAAGAAGCAAGATAATTGACCAATTTGTGAGTGAAGCACACTTCAACATGTCCGGAAATGGCTCCTTCGGCCGGAGCAGGTGCACCCATGTCTACCTTTGCCAACGACCAGAACTCCAACTCCATCACAATCGGGAGGCCACGCACGACAACCTCCATCACGTCCCTGTCTCCTTCTTCCAAACCAAATTGCCTGGTTCAAGGAAGACATCATTTCTGGTCCAATTGATTGACACTTCTCGCTGATTGCTCACGGGTAGTTGAAAGAGCTCCGGCAAGAGGGAGCAAGGAACCAGGTTTCACCACTTGCTATCTGAGCCGCTCGACAGTTATAAGGTGTCAAAGAAAAAAGGTTGGTTTGTTTGAAACTTACAGATAAGTTTTGGGGGCTGCGCGCTGCTGTCAGTTGTTGACAAATTTGTTCATTCAGAGTAATTTATTTATATACCATTAGTCTTTGTGTCTCGAAGGATGTAACCGAGCCTGGGCTGGCCATTGTCCTCTGTCCAAAGCTGGAATTACCAATTTCAGTGCATTGGTTCAACTCATTGTTTGCCGATTTGTATACCAGCCTTGTTGTCCAACACCCTTTGCTTACCTACCAAGGACCAAGTAGTCTGTCAAGTAGAGTCAAATATTTATTAGATGATTACTAGTTGAGCTAGAAATTGATATATTATATATTCCCTGTGGAAATACCTGCACAAAAAATATGTGTATTATTCTGCCTCTGTGTAGTCTCCTGTCAGCATAATATTGTGTACTCACTCATGCTTTTCCTAGGCATGATTCACCACAAGTACCTCATAGATAGTCTCAAAATCAGCCCAAATGACATTGTTGTATAATCTAAATTGCACAAACTGAATTTGAGGACCAACATTTGTAAAATATACATTCACAGGACTGTTGCGCCATTGCAAAATAAGTACTATATACATGGAATAGATTGTCAAATGAAACAGCAAGGATTGGTGGAGCAGGTAAGCTGGCTAGGTCCTCTTCTTATCATGGGAAGGCTTGCGAAGGACCTGTTTTGAACAAGTTAGCATAGTGAGAGGAATATGGAGTACAGGTATTGATGATGCTTACCAGACCTCTTGCTTTCACTTCTGTCTGTGGATCAAAATGAACATTATTAAATTATCGAGATAAGAAAAACATAAAATACCCACCACAACAGTGTTGTCAATATTTTTGTTGACCACCATTGCCAAGACTGCATAATAACACTCTTCCGAGTGAAAGACGACATTGTGGTTGGGATTTTTATCCTGGTTTACCTATGAGAAAAGATAGAGTCACATATTCAACTTCAACTATTAAGTGACACTTACCTCAGCGGCAACCGAATCCAAGATACTTTTATCAAAACTGAAGATACTCTCAGACATTATGTGGGAGTATTAGCAGGATGAGGGAGGGTACTGGTCTACTTATTGGGATTCTTGATCTCCCTTTATACCCAGTTGCCGTATAAAAATAAGTATGTCTTCAAGCTGTTTCTTCCAACCGAGAGATCTTCCAAAAAGCTTAATTGACAGCTGCATACCAGCGAAAGTGCTTCTTTGTATTGAATACTGTTTTCCTATCACCATCATTCATCATGATGATGACCAGCTGGCATTTGTAGGTCCAGTTTTATTCTCGGAATGTCTTCCATAGCTTCTGGAGACCTGAGATCAAACATAATTATCTGATCAATTTATGTACATATGTGTAATCATTAGTAGACTGTAACAGCATTTATAATGTTCCGAGTAAAGGGTAGAACACACATGTATATTAATGTGACTCAATGTTTCTCATTTGTTCGGATTCCCGACTTCTTAGGAATGGAAGACTACTTAGTAGCTTCACCTGTCATTGTTCCCACAGGGACATGAGTTGAGGGGACACAGGGACACAGGGGCACCATAATTTTTCATTCGGACTCCTAACTTTATTATAGGGATGGATAAACGGCTCCACTGTAGGGACACAGGGGCACACCATAAGTATATGCTCAAGCGACATAATCTGTGGCCACCCATATGGCCTACGCAGCATCCACTGTGCCCTGGGCCCACCCAGATTGGCAATGATAGCTGATTATCATAAACGTAAATGAACTGGAAGACGCGAGTAAAGAACAGTGTGACTCTGTCGCACTGCTGCCCTCGATTGGCCCTCGAGGTCCGAGGAAAAAAAAAAAGTTGACAGACTGTTATTTGCCCGACCGAATTTCTTTTTTCTTTCTTCGAAA